TGTGGGACAAAAACATGCAAGCACTGTCACCGACAGCAAGTTTAGTTTTACTTTTCTTTTTTTTCATTTTGAAAAGCTTGTTGTCTTTGCTGTTTACCTCACGTTATGCTATGGAGGCTCTCTTTTTTATTTAGTTGATTCCTCAGTGTTTGCTAAACATTCTGTAATTTATTAGTCAGTATATAATACAGCATGTGGTGTATGCCATGGCTTGTCTTATTCGTTTTTGTTAATAAACGTTTTATAAGCTAGGTTGTCATTGTATCTTACTGTTTTATTGTTGTTATGCTTTTTAATTAAGAATAACAATGAATCCATATTTTGTTTTAGTCTTAAAAAGTGAAAGGTGTGTAGATCAAAAAACGGACCGAATTAGCATGCCCTGCCGTAAATTTGATGAAAAACAAGCTTATGTGGATTCTAAACATTTAAACAATAAGGTATCTAGTATTATTTATAGAGCAGATAAATACATATAATCATTTATTAATAAATTATCATTTTGAGTTGACCCTTTTCTTTATTTAAAAGCTGAAATGTGAGGTTTACCATTAATGAAACTTTTTCAAAGCTTTATTTGAACATTTACATTAGATATTTGAATATGCTGTTAGATAAACTCTTGTCAGTCATGTTGTCATTTAAAATCCGGACATCATTGGTAATGTTATTGTTTTAGTTATGCAAACAAAAACTCATTTTATTTGTTGTTTGTTGATTTTAAATGTAAAACTTGGTGAAATTATTTGTGTGTCAGTACTTTTTGAACATTTCCAGCCCATTTTAACAATACTGTGATAATACTGATAACCGTGATCATTTTGGTCACTATAATCGTGATAAGAAATGTTCATATCGTTACATCCCTATTTTGGATATATATCAGGTACAGTACATGCCAAATCTCTCAACTAATGCTGTAAAATATACATGAGAGTCAGTTGGTACTACATTACTATAATATTGGAGGTTAAAATTGACTGATTTGTTAAAATTACACTTAATGAAGTTTTTAAAATAATAAAGTTACAATTACATAATATTTCTAATAATATTTTTTTAGTTTTTTTTATATAAACATAATGGTGGCTGTCATAAAAACTTGATAGATTTATTCAAACATAAATTTAACTTTGAAGAACAGTAAAAATTACAATGAATATGTTACATGGTGCGTATATTTAGCAAAATGCCCCTCTCCACAGTTTTTATTTCTATCTGACTAATGAGTTTATGGTCACCAAATATGTTTTTCTGAGGTAAATGTGACGTTACGTGACTTTGTAAGCTGTTATATTTACGTCTTTGCGTGGAGGAAACACTGATTGAGCGATTACATGAGACCGGATACGGCTTGTAAAGTTGTACTCTTTCTTTTAACTTACCTTCGGATGTTTAGTCATGTTTATTTTGTGCTGAAGCTGGTATTAATGTGGAGGAGATGATTAGTTCACGTGAGCCTCATGCTGCTGCGTCTGTTGATCTGAGGTGCTACAGCGATCTGTCACTCCACATTAAACAGCGGCAAAACGGCATTTATTGTTTGAATATTGCAATACAATGGACAGAATTTGAAATCTGAGACTTTGTTTCATATTCATATTCACTGCATATTAAGATGCTAGTCACTCTTACTAGTAATCAAAAATATAATACTAGTAACATAAAAATATATAGCATTAATTGTAATCGTAGCTTGCCACAAAATTAGTGATTTTTATATATGGTCAGTCATTAAGTTATTTATTGTAAATTTTACAAAAAAAAACTTTGCTGAATTCACTTCAGAAATTTGTTTTAGCAAGAAAATAAATATGCATCAGGTAGAGTAATTCAGTTACTGATTTCAAGCTTTTAACTAATTTCCATCTGAATGGAAAAATCCTGTTGACTAGTAAAAGTAAAATCTCAGATTAATCTTTTTGCACAGAAGCCACAAAAATATTAAAAGCTTTTGCTGAACTGATGTAGCTGTTTTGACTTCGGCTCTTTAACAGATTGCATTGTTTCATTAAATTGCCTGGGGCTCAGAGAACCCTATATCCCCTTTTACCACACACATATGCATGGACACAGACACACACACTCTTTTTCAGCGTTACTCCCCCACAACATGTGGTTCTAGTTCCTGCTGAGTTGACGCTGCAGTCAGCCGTAGACAGATTGCCCTGGCGTTCGGGTCTGGTGTGGGGCAAAATGTAGATATTGTGGAAGAGATGACGTAATTAGACTGGTTTTGCCCAGACACCTTTGTTGCACAACGGTTGCAACCTCTCCTGTGACCAGACGCCCCTCAGGTCCTGCACTGAGCTGAAGGGTGTGTGTCTGTGTACTGGGAGTCAATCTAGGGGTCACCGGGTCACTGAATTGAGCAAGTGAGAAACTGCTTAGAAATACGCTTCACCTTACACGCGGAACGATTAGGCTGGATAAAGTTTGCTTGTACATTGTCCATGACAGAGCTTCTGAAAATCTTTGCTTCTGTTGCATGCCCATTATGGATATGTGTGCTTGATTCCCAATGTGCCTGCTTATATTCATTATTAGATTTGAATGAGAATCAGCCACTCTTAAATGAAAGAAAACACTTGTCCATTCCTTGCACGCTCTTTCTCCTCTCCTCATTAAACGTATGCGTCTCGAGCTTCATTTCTCTTGCCGTTCCCCTCTCGAGGCCCAGGAGAGCAGCTGCACGTAGGACTCTGTGAAAGTTCCCAGATGTACTTAGCAAAGCCGACTTCTGCTGACCGCCCGTCAGCCGCCCTGTAATATGAGAAGTTTATCTGATCTTAGAGATGGCCTATACAGAGGAAATAATAGGAGAATTTGGTGCCATTGGTCTGAAGGAGGTGTATGCATTGGAGATTTCACGTCATTGTTGTTTGATACTCAGAAAGCATCGACTTGTGCTATTTTACACCTTTATTGATGGATTTGTTGATGCTGAGCTGCAGATATTTGATATTGTGGGTTTTCAAGGAGAGGAAAGGGAAATGGATTTGTGAATATTAAAAATATTTGGTTTGCAAGGCAGGGTGTGCGCAGATAAATTTTTTATTAGCAAACTCGCATGGATGCATTTGATGAATTTACAATGAACTTATAACTCAAAGCACTGTCTATTGGCTTTTTTCTTTTATTTATTAATTTTTTTTGCAGAGCTGTTTCTTGAACATCTGCCTTCACATTTTTTTTTTTTTTAACAAATGTTTTTATTCCGTATATTACATTTGCGTTTTTTAACACATGCATTACCTGAAAATACTTGGGGCGCTTCAAATGAAACCCATAAGGTGCTCTTTCAAATGAGACTAAAAAGCAGGCACTGCATTTTGAACCAGCAACTAAATGAATAATACATTAACTTGCCAGCACAGTAATATTCATAGAAAATTGTTTGTCGTTCTGTGCATGATAAAATGATTTTGAAATAAACTGTGGAGATGCACTTCTAGCTGCAAACTTTTTTCATAACTCTTATATACCCATCACACACTCATCTAGGTGGGTAAGGGGGTTAGTCTTTCTTCCTAATGAGGATTACCTGTTGGCCCCAGAAAAGAAGACTTTGACCAGAGAGCCATTGGGGGGAGGCCTGCAAAACAATAGGGTGCTGAAAAGCACATGCCTCCTGTGGGGCACAATGGCCAGCTGAAACAGTCTCGCCTCACTCCGTCTTGAAATGGATCCCTAGATAACTCAATTTTTGCACTGCCCGTTTTTAAACAGCCGCTTTCAGGGCTGTAATGTGATGCTTCTGTTATGCAAAATCTAAAATGGCCTCTGAGTAAGAGAATTCAGCAGTATGAAGAGTTTTTGAGTGGTCAAATTCAAAGGGTAAAATATCAAAGTTTGTGGCTCGACTCGGTTTAATTCACTTAATCCACTCAGCATAAGAATCAATTTGATCCAAACTGAAAAAGTGACTTTTCACTATTATTATTCGTTTACAATGTATTCAAGTCACACGTTTTTCCTTTTTTTTCGCCCCAAATGTATTAATTATTTTTTATTATTATTGTTAGTTATTTAATTATGAATGCCTGTTTGTTTGTGTTGAGTGGTGGGGGTTTGTGTGCTGATAGCCAATGAGATGGCGTTTTGTAAGACCCAGATAGGTGAAATTAATGCAGTAAGATTGAATCATTTCATATTTATTGTCAGTATAAATCATCTCATTTAACTTGTGGATATTGCACATATGGCAATAATGCTTAACAAACAATGGTTAAATAAAATCATCTTGTAAGTTCTAATACATTGTAGTAGTAACAACTAGTGTTGAATCACCAGTTGATTTAATAGTATCAAACCAGACCCATGTTCAAAATGCTTTCTTCTCCAAAAAAAGAAGAAAAAGAATGGTGAGTCTATGGTGCAGTAATGGAATCTTAGTACTTTAATACAGTGGTGGCCAAAATGATTAGAACACTAGTATTTTCACCAGCTAAAAATGGTTTTAAATCTATCTTTTGTTGTAGTGTGTCAGTAGGAAATATCAGTTTATATTTCCAAACATTAATTTTGCCATTAATTGTAATAATCCAAGTGAGATTTTTGTTTGCACACAAGGAGTCTGACAACAGAATTTCTTGAAGCATCTTGGAAACGTTGTCACAGTTCTTCTGGATTTAGTCTGTCTCAGTTTGTTCTGTTCTTCATGTGATTCCAGACAGACTGGATGATGATGAGATCAGATCTCTGTGTGGAGCACTGGCTGCTGTCAAACAAAAATCTCACTGGATTATTACAATTAATGGCTAAATTTTGGCCACCGCTGTATATACCATAGTACAGTATAGCATATTCAAATACTTTGATATTTACATTATGCTCAAAAGCATTTCAATGGAACTACCATAATACATGCAGTAACACTATAGAACTTTTATTTGTCAAGTGATTTATATATAATTTTTACAGTTAATTTAGCTTAACATTTTTGTTATCATATAGTATCATAATACTTTATATCTTTTTTTTTTCTTCCCCACCTTCAGTCACATTTTCAAAGACTTTTACTCCGGCACTGGGCCAGTCCAGTCAGTCTTGGCGCTCCATGCAGTCCCCGTACCACCTGCCGCACCCCCTGCCCCCTCTGCCAGTGCGCAAGGGGGTACGAGGGAGGAGACCCAAGAGCCAGACCATCGCCATGCTAAAAGCAGCAGCCGAGGCAGCAGCAGCTGCAGCCAGCACGTCACCGAATGGCCAAGCGCAGTCCAATGCAGCCAAGAGTCCCATGAGCTCACCGCTCACACCCAAACCATATAAAAAGAGGGGACCCAAACCCGGCAGCAAGGTACAACTGCATATTTGTGGTTGAATGGATCAGTTAAAAGGTTTTAATTTATTTATTGTGATATTTACAGTCAGTCTTCAATGGACAGTTCACCCAAAAATGTCGTCATTAACCAGTGTTGTTATTGTTTTTTTGTTTTTGGCATTTTTGCCTTTATTTGGTAGGACAGTAATTCGACAGGAAGCAAAGTTAGAGAGAGTGGGGACGGGATCGGGAAAGGTCCGCGAGCTGGGACTCGAACATTTTGACGCGCTATGAATATTGGTTGATTAACAAATTAAATGAAAATGTTGCCTCTGCAACTAACTGAAATACAATTATTTGAATTAGTAAAATTAACTTTACTATTACTAAAAGAAAAATAAATGAAAGCTAAATATAAATATTTTTTTAAAAGCACATTACAAAATTATTACAATTAAAATAAAAGCTGAAAGTATACATATAAAAGCTTAAAATATTAACAAATACTATAATAGTGTGTAAATAGTACTACAATATCTGCCATGAACTCACACGCATGTCATTTCAAACCTGTACGATTTTCTCTCTTCTGAGGAACACAAAATAAGACATTTTGACACTTTTTTTTTTTTTTTACGTTTTTGATTGAATTTGATATAATTTTTTGCCAACATAATGGGATTTTCTTTATGGTATAAAGAAATAAAGAGGGGGGGAAATTGCCTCTGGAACTGATCATTATGCAGCTTTTGTTTGATTTTGGCCCTTATGTCATGAGCAATTATTCATATTAAACATTAACACTTCTATTATACTTCTTCCCCATGAATGGTACATTAAACATGCTGTATTCACCTCGTTTGTGAATCGCAATCAAGATAAGGCATTTGTAGTCTTCTACCATAGTTTTGAGAAGGTGGGCATACAATACTGGGGTTGTTTTGTGAGAGTGAGTATTGGTGTTTTATCTCTCGCTCTCTGTCTTCCACAATTACAGAGGAAACAAAAGGTTCCTCATTCACTTTCAAGCCCCACGTTGTCGTCCTCAGTGTCAGATGGGAGACTGTCTAGTCTGCAGACAACAAGAGAATCAGGAGTTGTGTCCACAGGTAGGCTTTTATCTTCCTGCCTTTATTTTCTGCCATACATGGGCCATGTACTCCTCAATATTCTGATGGCTTTGTAGTGTTGTATGCTTCACCTGACTATCCACTCCCTCCTCTTGTAGTTTGTGTGTATGTGAATAAACATGGAAACCCAGGGCCACGCCTGGACCGTAAACTGTTATTGCAGCTGCCAGATCATTTCGGACCGGGTCCCGTGAACACGGTCCTCCAGCATGCGGTCCAAGCCTGCGTGGACTGTGCATTTCAGCCCAAAGCTCTGTTCAGCTTCCTGCAGTCTCAGTCTGATGGAGGGGAAATCATCAGAGGTTAGTTTGGACCTGCTTCAGAGTTTGATCTACTTTAGATTGTGATCTGGGTTTGATTTTAAGAGTGATTCTTTGATTAGGAGAACATTTTTGCCAGGAATAAAGAATGCTTTAAAATAAAATATATATATATATATATATATATATATATATACATATATACACTCACTGGCCACTTTATTAGGTATACCTTGCTAGTACCGGGTTGGACCCCCTTTTGCCTTCAGAACTGCCTTAATTCTTCGTGGCATAGATTCTATATCTATATCCCTTTCCATACCGTAAGGGCTGGAACGATTACCGGTTTCACGATAAATCACGATAAAATGCGCTGACGGTTAGTATTATCGTTTAAAATTTAATTATCATCAAAACCGTATTTGATTATCGCGATTTTGAAAACTCGCGGTAAATCCTGTCCAGCCAGCATCAGTCTGACGCAGAAGCAGCATGCAGTGTTGTTGTTTTTTTGTTTTTTTTGCACGAGACGAAATGGTGGAAGGCAGTGACAGCGCTCTGGAGATTTTTCAGCCATCTATGAGGACCAAATCGGTGGTCTGGTCGTATTTTGGCTTTTACAAGAGTCCTGAAGGCAATTTAATCGAGGACGGTCACCCTGTCTGCCGATCTTGCAAGAAGAAAGTCGCTGCAAAAGGGGGAAACGCATCAAATTTGCTCAGTCATCTTCGTGACCACCACCCACTGTTATAGCGAATGCAAGGTAACTTTTACCTCAATACCAAAACTAACAGGGCAAATAATTGGACAAAAAATATTTCGTTATCTCACTTATAGACTAATTTAATTAGCCTATTCTATTTATGTTTGTATGTGAACTCAAAATCAACCCCAACTTGCATCACAAGATCTCCTAACCGAAGATCACATAATCACAAACGGAAATCACATTGTGTGTGTATATATATATATATATATATATAAGTGATTTATTATTAGTATTATTATTAGGGCTTCATGTTAATTTTAATTTAATGTTTATGCTAAAAAAAAGTGCATATAGCTGTTAATTGTATTTCTTGTTTGTTGATTTTCAAATATAAAACTTATTGAAATGTTTTCAGTGTGTGTATCAGTTCTTTTTGAACATTTTCATCTAAATTTCACAAAACCGTGATAGTATTGATAATCGGGATAACTTTGGTCACTATAATCGTGATATGAAATTTTTATACCGTTACATCCCTAATATACTGTATATGTATAGACACACACACACACACAGTCAAACCAAAAATTATTCAGACACCAGATATCATTTTTGATATATATTTTTTTTCCTAGTGGGAATGACTGACCAAATGTTACCTTGCCAACACTGCGTGTGCGTGCAGCATTCAGTACTCCGTCAGTTGTTGCAAATAAATATTTATTATTATTATTATTATTATTTTATTCAAATATTGTCTAATTGTGTCTTATTAACTATTAAATGTTTTCAAACTAAACTTGCTTACACTACCATCTTAAATCATATTTCTATCACTGACGAAAAATATGTTGTCTTACATTAAAATAGACTAATTTAATTAGCCTATTCTATTTATGTTTGTATGTGAACTCAAAATCAACCCCAACTTGCATCACAAGATCTCCTAACCGAAGATCACATAATCACAAACGGAAATCACATTGTGTGTGTATATATATATATATATATATATAAGTGATTTATTATTAGTATTATTATTAGGGCTTCATGTTAATTTTAATGTTTATGCTAAAAAAAAGTGCATATAGCTGTTAATCTAACAGAAGGATGGCATAATCAAGATGAATTTGTTCTGACACAATTTAACTCTTGAGTTCTTGTCATATTTTATTACCGTTTTCTAAACTATAGCGAATAAACTGTGATCATGTGAAAAATGTTGAAAATGTCTGAATAAATTTAGGTTTGACTGTGTGTATATATAGTTAAGATAAAAGAAGAAATAAATTCAAAATATGATTTTTAATTTAGAGTAAATTTTTTCCTAGTTAAGTTTACTTTTAGGTTTTCTGAAAACTGCAATTGCCAGCACTCACAGTATAAAAAAAATCCTCATCACACATTAATCTACTTTAAGGTTGATCAAGGCCATGACATGGGATGCATGTTTTAACAAATATGAATCATTGTTTGAAGAAGTTCATTTTTCAAAACGTCAGGGAGTCAAAAGTGCTCCTTAAGGAAGAATGATCCATAATCTAAAGTGTTTTGAGAGCTGAATGGCGTATTGCTGTAAGACTGGAGCTCCATTTGAATTGGTGTAGTTGAATGTTATTTTAAGGCTTTCAGCCTGTGTGTGCTTTACAATAAAGGGAGAATTGAGAGCATGGGTGTGTGGTTGACCTGAAAAGAGAAGGGTGTGTGTATGTTTAAAGAGAAGTGTGTGTGTGTGCACAGCTGATGTCATCAGACTGCGAGTAATAAAGGATGACATCTGTGTGTAACCTGGTTTGGAGCATTTGATTGGGGTGTCCCCAGGGGAAGTGTGCATATGTGTGTCTATATTTGTGTGTGTGCAGGGGGTGGGGCCCACGCTAGGACTGTGGGGCCATCTGCCGTGACGCCATGGCCCCTTAATCGGCACCCATTTAGTGCCAAACCCCCCCCCCCCCCCCCCCACACACACACAATATAAGTATTTCAACGGTTGGGATTATGTTTTTTTAAATGCCGTATGAAAAGCATACTAGATTATACATGCATTCCCAGTTGTATGCATTCCATGTGATGTTAAGGAGTAATGCAAATATGTGTTTAATTTTGCACAAATTCTACTTTCATGCAGTTCGCTCAGAAGGAGGAATCCACTATGTCAAGCTCCCCACTGCCTCCAGTGCATCGTTCGTTCTGCGCTTTCTAGAAACTCTTTGTCACCACCTGCATTGTGATAACCTGTTCAGCAGCCAGCCATTCAGTCCGCTAACTACTAACACACACAAGCCGTATGAAAGGAGTAAATCAGGTATATGTGCGTGTTTGTGTCAATGTTGTTATTGACATTTGCAGTAATTAAAAATAAAACATTTACAATAAATTTAAATTTGCAACTAAATGAAATTTTAAATCCTAAAATTACTGAAATTAAAAATGTTAAATATAAATAAATACTACAATAGTATATAAGTTATATATGCTTTGTTAGAGCTGCATACTTAAAATCATAACGTGGCAAAAAATGTTACACAATAATAGTAATAATTCAAATGTTATTATTCTTATAATACAATAGTAATAAATAAATAAATAATAATTCAGTAATAGATTAAATTGTTTCATTCATTAAAAATAGTAGTATGAATAAAAAGTGGACCAAAAAGAGATCCAAGTCCCCTTTAAAGTTCAGATGCTATGGGAATTCAACTGCGTTCTGTAGGTCTTGATGTATGACCAGCAGTTTAAGATGAATATGTTTACATTTTAGTTTGAATTGAAATTGTCAAAATAATTGATTTCAGAAGTGATCTATATCTGCTCTTTTCTTCTGTTGCAGTGAAAGAGGAGACGTCAGAAGCTTTGTCTGTAGCACGAGGTACGAGACGTTTCAACAGAGATTCAGCGGCCTACACCGCTGCCCTGTCACCAAAACTACAGAGAACAGAAGCTCTGCCCTCAGACGGTACGATTTGTTCAGTTGCGCTGACTGATTTCGCTTGCTAGTGTCTGAGAGTGAATGATAGCGATCAAGTGTTTTATGCCACAATAACTGCAGCAGAACCAAGCCAGTTCTGATTGGTCGCACTGAAGGTGAAAGGAGGACGGGGTTTTCTTTAGGTGGAGTTAGACGCCTCTGTTCATTCTCTCATTAACTGCACATAAGAAAACTCTTACTGCAGACAGACCCCTAATTAAATTGTCTACATTGTAACTAATTAAGTGTCTGAGTTTTATGAAGTTGTGAATGGCCTGCCAATTTGGGTTATTTTTCTACTGCTGTTATAATTTGCCAGACATAGGTGTTGTGTTTTTAACTCTCATTAAATGTTTCATAGATCAAGCTCATTGCCACAAATTGAAGAAACAAAAAATTGTGTTAAAAGCATTACAAAATGATTTGTAGTAGTGTTTGCACATGTGTATTGGAAGCCAATTATAAAGTGAGACATGTTACTAATTGATACATCAGATTTATATTCATTCAGAACACAGGAATACTCTCCTGCATTTATTTTAGTGGGTTTATGTGTAAAATACTGTAGGTGTGTAAACTTTTAGCCTCTAGCATGTAAGTAAAACCTTCTGTAAACCTGTATTTTATTTTTTATACACACAACTAGTCTTTCTTTTATTATTACTATTTTACACAATATTAAATTGATCAAAAGTGACCGTGACAAGATTTTGACATTGTTGCAAAATATTTATTTTTCAAATAAAAGCTATTCTTTTGATCTTTCTATTCATCAAAGAATCCTAATAAAAATGTATCATGGCTTCCATAAATATAAAGTAGTATTAAGCAAAAATATATAAAATATTAAGCAGCACAACTGTTTTCAACATTGATAATAAGAAATGTTTCTTGAGCAAATCGGCATATTAGAATGATTTCTGAAGGATCATGTGGCACCGAAGACTGGAGTAATGAAAATCCAGCTTTGCAGCATAGGAATAAATTACATTTTAAAATATAAAAGAGTTGTTTTAAATTCTAATAATATTTCAGAATATTTGTACTGTATTTTTGATCCTTTTGATGATGTATTTTGAACATTTTAAAAATATTACTGGACCCAAACTTTTAAATGGTATGTGTATGAGGAATGGTAAGATTCACCAATTTGCATCGGCATAAAAGTTAACGATGCGATACATCGATATAAAAAAGTGTGCATCGGATGCAAGTTGGCATTTGTATCGTGATGCATCGTTTCTAAAATATTTGCATCAGTAAAAACATATTTATTTATAATTTTTAGTGAATGCACTATACTTTTATTATTTACAAAGTGACTAATAATTTGTCCAATATTTTATATGTAGATTGATTTCTCCTAAACTTTATCTCGAATGCATTCTCATCACCACTGCTACTACGTGAATATGACAACATATCACAACACTATGGAGACCGAGGCGATTAAAAATCAGATGGCACTTAAGTTAATTTATGATTTGCTGTCTGTCTGAACCAAAGAAATAAGAGCTAACTATCTGTACCATATTAAATTGCATAGCATCATATTTGTTTCCATTGCATCGTATTGCTTTTTGAATCGCACTGTGTTGAATCGAATAGAAATTGGATCGCACTGCATCGTAATAGGGGTGAATCGTATCGCATCGGTAGCCGCTTCATATGTGACCCTGGACCACAAAACCAGTCTTTAGTCGCTGGAGTATATTTGTAGTAATAGCCAAAAATACATTGTATGGGTCAAAATTATTGATTTTTCTTTTATGCCAAAAATCATTAGGATATTAAGTAAAGATCATGTTTCATAAAGATATTTTGTAAATTTTCTACTGTAAATATATCAAAACTTAATTTTTGATTAGTAATAATATGCATTGCTAAGAACTTCATTTAGACAGCTTTAAAGGCGATTTTCTCAGTATTTAGATTTTTTTGCACCCTCAGATTCCAGATTTTCAAATAGTTGTATTTCAGCCAAATATTGTCCTATCCTAACAAACCATACTTTAATGGAAAGACTGGTTTTGTGGTCCAGGGTCACATATGTATCTTTAATGTATCGTATCGTTGGCTGTGCATCGAGATGCGTATCGCATCGGCCTCTGTTACGGAGATGCACATCCCTAATGTGTATATACCTTAAGTATAAACTAAAACATTTCACTTCATGCTTCTTTGTAACAGAAACCATCGCCCATGTTGAAAATGGTGCCACCACAGACCAGCAGTTCACAGAAGAGTCAATAGACTCGGCCTCCAATTCTGTTGCCCCCCGACCCCCCGCACTAAGGAGCACGTCTGAGTATCACACCCTGGCCGGAAGCAGCCCGCACTACCCCCCTCACCCCCCACCCCTCCGCCGACTCTCCTCTAACCCCTCTGAGCTGGGACCTGCACGCACACACAGACGAGTGGAAGGTAGGCTATGTAAGAATGCTTTGTTTAGACCCCTTCACACACACACTATTAATAACATGTAAGATTACTTGTCCCCTTTGTAGATGACCAGACTTAAATCATCACTCAGATTCATAGCTAACACTTTGTAATAGCTGTCATTAAAAATATTAAGTTCAAGTTAACTAATGTAGTTAACTAAAGTTGAGAAATGAAATCTTATTGTACAGTGTTACTGGAATGTCATGAAGTTTTAAACTACTGACCTGTATATAAGCTGAAGCATTGTGTTTTTTGTTGATTTATTAATGATAAAGTTGACTAGACTTAATTTTATTTATTTTAAATAGACCTTGTACACTCAGATTTATTAGTAACACTTTATTTTATTTCGGAAGCAATTCATCGATTTTTACAGCTCTGTTAAACCTTATATCGATATTTCATGTGCCATTAGAAATGTCATTAAACTTTGAATAAGTGATCACCCTATAAGCTGAAGTACAGTGTATTTTTAAGGATTTAGTAATAATAAAGTGACTCATTTATGGAATCTTATTGAAAGTCAGTGAGCTTTTAGTGTCTGTGCTTGTAGACATTACGCTTGTGTTTGAGCCCTGAAAGCAGAGCAGTTTTATTGTTCACCTTCTTCAGAATGCTTTGGGTCTAGCAGTTTGGCTTGCATGATCAGTGCTGCTCTTCGGAGACTGAGATCTATTTCTATCGTGGGATAAACACCCATATCAGTTCCGCACAGAGTGCTTGTATGAGGACCAGATGTATTTTCTCTAATCAAATGTCAAGTGACACAATAGGCTTTGATATGGATTAAAGCATGTTAGTGGCTCAGGGGGTCATATTTATTTAAATAGCATCTCGGAGTGGGAGTAATGTTTGGGGTTCAGTTTTATTTTCCATTTTAGAGAGACAGAGTCAAGAACTGTCAAGTAGGGACTGATCCTAGACCAGCACTCCCATTCAGGAAAGCTCATGTTCAGTTTCCCAAAAAAATACATACGTCAGTTGAGGCGGGCAGAAAAAAGGATGAACATAGATTTAATTACTTTGTGATTATAAAGCCACATATAGCATCTACTACTTTCAGTTGTGGGCTCTAGTTGATGCTATCATACTATTCTTATTGTTTCTGCAATATGTGGTACATGTATTGTGCACAAAATGAAAATGTTCTGAATAATGTGTTGAATGAATACTGCCTCCCACAAATAAAAATGCATATTTAAATATTGAAAAAATACATAATAAAAATAATGTAAATTTATATAGCACACTATTATCATATATATATATATATATATACACACACACACACACACACACACACACAGTGGGTACGGAAAGTATTCAGACCCCCTTAAATTTTTCACTCTTTGTTATATTGCAGCCACTTGCTAAACTCATTTAAGTTAATTTTTTTTCCTCA